CATTCTACATAAGATTAAAATTTCACTTGTCAGTCGTTAGTAATTTATCTCGAAGTTTTAAAGTATGTCCTTCTTGTGTTTTGCAGTTTAAAAAACATTTCTCCTTTCCCATCAATCAGCAAGATATAAACGAAGATATAATTGGTTAAATAAAATACGTAGAAAAATTACATACAAAATAAGTAAAATACGTACGAAAAAAAATACGTAGAAATTTTTTTGCGTATTCACACATTTATGTAAAAATATTTTCAATATTTATTTTTTGATATCTTTTTCCTAATAGAAAAAATTTTTATGAAGAGAAATAGAAAATTGAGACAAGATGTCAGAATTTTTTAATTTTTTGTAGATATTTTCGTAATAGAACATAGAGCTGCGTTGTTTAAAACGGAAGATTTCGTAGTTTTTTAAACAAACAACACGTCACTTTACATCCTACTACAAATATCTATGAACAAGAATTTTTAAGAACTTGTCTCAATTTGATGTAGATTTTCATAAACATTTTCCATCAAAGTAAAATTTTGATCTAACTTTATCAGAATTCGAGTTGATCACGTGAAGATAACACGCGAGACATAATATCTATGAACTGTTTATTGTGATAACAGTCAAGGTTGAAGTAACGATCCTGAACAATTCGTAATTTGAAGAATGTTCTTAGAGAAATACATGACGAGCAATTGTTAATAATACTTTGTAATCGACATCGTCCCTCGTCATGCCTAAATGTTCTTACAATGATGGAAGACAACTTTCGTAAAAGTAAAAATACTTTCATAAAAGAACATACCTTCGTTCGAATTGTCTGTCCTGTGATATCGTGCCATTGACTTTATCAAGCAACGTGGCATATTTCTTGAAATAAATTCTGAAACGTTCTATGCTATCATATATGCTTCGCAAGAAGTATGGAAAAAACCTCTTAATCTTCCACTGAAGTAACAAAATGAAAATGGCACTGCCCGACTGGCGACTGCCGTGCACTTGATCGGTTTTTGTTTTTTTTTTTTCCATGCAGTAGCGTATTATCGAATCACTCGACGAAAAATTATGATCACTAGGATAATTTACGAATTATCAATTTCTCTTTTTTCATATTCGATAGTTTCTTTATATATTAAGTTGGAGAAAAAGTTTTTTTATATATATGTAAAAGGACCTTTATTTTTTAAAATCATCTCAGTTAAAAGTAAACGAAATTTAAATTATAAGAGTTTTAAAGCTTGAAATCTCTATTTTCAAAGGTTACTATATTTTTTGAGTTTCTGTAAGTTCGGTAATTTCTATATATAAAAAACTACGAGTTGAAAAAGATGAAAAATTTTCTTTTTACTTTGTGGGTCTTTCAAATGTTCAAAAAAAAGATTTGCGAAAATTTTCGATTACCTATCATGAAAGCTTCAAGCTTTCCTTATTTTTAAATAAGAAACCGTTTTAAAAATGTTTCTACGATATTTTGGTCCTGAGTTATTTACGAGTTAAGTAAAGGAGAGAGCATTCTGATTTTGATTGCTCTGTTAAAAATCATTATATCACAATTAAAAGAAAAACAGATTCTTAAAGCTGAAACTTTGCTTTATCGAATGATATGCAACGAAATTGTATAACATGCGTCTGAAAGGATCTTTTACATATATAACTTTTTCTCTCCAACCTAATATATTCTGTTTGATTTCTCAGGCAACACGCGATCACGCGTGTGTCTAAAAGACATCGTATGATATTTTTTTAGACATGCGTACATATGTTATCTGTTAAGATTAATAAATTAGTATTTGCATTTCGTTCAAACTAATTATTGTAAAATAATGTAAGACCAACATTAATTATCACTTTAAACAATTTTATCGTTTTTCTTTGTGCTTGTCTCGATTCGACAAATAGAAATCTTTATTATTCTATTGAGTTTCATATATTATATATCTCAAAAACTTTTGTTCCGATATTGTTTTACTCTTTTACTAAATAGTTAACTTTTTTTTCTAAATTAATAAAATTATGTATTAATTAATGATTTCTTTCATTTTAATCTTGTCCCTGGTGGAAATTCTTTATTATAATTATAATGAATAATAACGAAATTAGTGTTACTAAATTATATATTGAAATCTGTATCAATTAATCCACTTTTAGCATTATTTCATTAAGATTTTATCAATAACTCGATATAAAATATATTAAGATTATAAAGAATTCAGTGAATTTTAAAATGAAAATCAATGAATGCAATTGATTTAATGAGTTATTTATTTCATGGAGACTTACTTATTATAATCTAGAGACTTTTTATAAGATGCATCTTAGGCCGCGGAATCAAACTATACGCATTGATCAAAATTGAGATTGAAGATTAAAAGATTGAAATTTAGTCAATCAAAATAATAGGAGTTAAATTTCTTTATTCTCATTGGTAAAATTTTAAATTTCAATCTTCAATGCGTAGTTTGATTCCAGCCTTATAGACTATCAAATGAGCACCTCATTATGTCCTTCATACATCCGCTGAACATTTAAATACGTAATCCTTGGAATAATTCTATTATTTTACAAGACTAAAATATATTTTATAAAATATTATTATATATATCAACTAATATAATGAATTATTATATATATTTATTAGTTTAGTTTAGACAAAAATACAATTATATCTTATACTAAATATAGTAAATAACGTATATAGTAAATAAAGTATATACGAAAATTACGTACAAATATAAATAACGACATGTTTGGACTTTGATTTCATAGATCTGTTTATACATATAGAGAACTTGACTAAATTTTACATGCGAGAAACAACTATCTGAAGGCAGTTCTAGAAAGATGAATTCAACACTTTCCATCACAATCATGCAAACTGATTTCTTTATTTTTCAGCAAATTTCAGTTTTCTTTTAATTATTAATTTCAATATTTTTATTTTACTGTTTCTTTCTATTCGGTAATTTTCATTAATAAATCTGTAAAAGGAATGTTTATTTCATTTCAATGTCATTTTTTTCAAATATTTTCATTAATTTTCCTTATAATTTACTTCAGTATATGTTAGTGTACAATTTATAGTGCTAACTTATAAAGCTATAAAAATATATGTTTTGTATTATTTTTTATTTTTTTCATGCATTTTTAAAAATTATTTTTTGGGAGATTTATATATAGTACTTTAACATAAATCAGTCTTCAATTTCTTTAATAATCTGAGAATAAATCTGTAAAAATATATATCATATTAGCATTATTTTTCGTTATTTTTTATTATTCTTTGATTAGAACTTGTAGTATTTCAGTATTAAAAGTTTTATTTATACTGAAAATATTTTTAACATTTCAATTATTTTCATTTCTCATTTCCAAAACTTTACAGTTGATTTCAATGATTTCAGCGATTTATTTTCATCAGAAATATTTTTAATAAAAACGATACTTTAAAAAAAGTATGATTTAGAAAACATACAAGTATATGTTTTTAGGCGCAACCAGTTGTTTAAATCATACCTTATACAGCACGTTACAGAAGGTCTTATCAAATTAATTTGTTATTGATTTGTTATTATGTTGTTAAAAAAGTTAAACATATTTATACAGTATAACAATAGATGCCCTTACATCAAGTTAAAATTTCTAATGTTTATTTGCGTAGAAATCATAGTAATAGTATATTAAATATGATAGAAAATGAATAGAAAATGTAACAAAAATTAAAAAATATTTTAAGTGATATGCATTTGATAACTCTTCCCTATGTTTCATCTCATGGCAAATGTCTATTTATAAATGTATAATTTTTGGATGCGATTTATCTTAGCGCTAAACATTCGAAACGTGTAATTGATCAATTAGAAGAAACATTTATTTACTAATTGTCCAATCCAAGAATAAGAATATCTCAAAGCATGTTGTAGCATCAAGTGGACCGTATTGTCAGTCCCTGTGTTGTCAACCGCGACCTCTGAGTGTCTTAATAATTCCCGTGTGGTGAAAACAAGGAAGTTTGAACGAATATATTCAGATTAACGTCTCAGAATCAATTCAAACGTCGTCGCGACCGGTTCAAGTCACGTGTTTTCTCCTTTTAAGATACAAAAAATATATTTAAACCTTTACATTCACATGTAAGAACTTTCATTTACTATAGTGTAAGTACCCTTTGTTTTTTATAAAATTTATGTATATCCGATTCTCTCGACATTATTTTAATGAAGATAAATATATTTATAATTTGATGTATGTAATTATTTTTGATCAAATCATTTACATTTTATATAATATTTAAAATATGTTTCGAAAAATATTATATTTTAATATTTAAAATATGTTTCGAAAAATATTATATTTTAATATTTAAAATATGTAAAATAACACATTTATTAAATATGTAATATATTATATTTAAATACTTAAATATTTAATTTTTAATATTAATTTAACCTCTCTCTCTCTTATAAGATATTTGTAAAAATTTAATATTTTAAAATATAGTGTGTTTATTGAAGTTTTAGTCATTTTATTATGTATTCATTTTTCCTTGAGTTAGTTTATTAATTTCAGTTTTAATTTCGAGAGATTTATTAATTTAAATAGATACTAAAATATATTTAAAAAAATACATTTAAAGATATCTAAAAATAAAATATTTGCTTTTTGCATTACTTTATATTTATATTTATATGAGATAAACAGGATGAACATATATATATTATTTTATATTACAAGATACAATATTTTCTATAGAAATTTTATCTAGCTTTTTTGATTGTGATTAACGTTTAATATTAAATCGAGAACATTAAACTCATTTTAAGATTCGCCTATTTGTTTATATCACCACTAGAAAAGTAATCTTTTCGACAATAAAGCGACTAAAAGTATAGGGCTTATTAATGATGCAAACATTCAAATAATTTTATAAAAAATAATTGAAAGAGCAATAATTAGTAAACTCTAATTTGTTTTATTAAAATTAAATTTCATCTTGTTTTTATTTGCAGATTATGCGCCGTTTTCTAGTATTATTATTTATATACAGCTTTTTATATCCTTGTTCATTTAATGGTAAGATATACTGACAAAATAAAAATTTTATTTTCACTCTTATTTTTTTCTTAATTAAATTTATTATTAATTAACTTTTTATATATATCTTTGTTCGAAGTTGCGCATTACACTACACACACACAATGCATTAAAATATAATAATATAAATCAATCTAGAATTACATTATTTCGTTACTTATATTTCGAAATACTGAAAAATAAAATTGTGTTATAAGGATTGGACTCCCGTTTTAAAACACAAAGCTGCCAAAATCTGAGCAGTGGGAATTTATTCAAATGCAGCAATGGGCAATGTATATTACAGTCCTATAGATGTGATACGATTGTGGACTGTACAGATGGCTCAGATGAAGAAGGCTGTGACAATTATAACAACGTACGTATTATATAGCTTGTGTTACATATTTGTTGAAAATAAGATTTTTTTAATTTTACCGATTTTAAATCTGATACAGATTTTTAAGGTAGATTATTTAACACGGCAGTGTCGTTGCGCTTGCCTTAGCGCAGAGACACTGCCATGTCTCTAGATAGTTTCTTCTTACAATTAAATCACGCATTGCATATTGGAACCTTTTATTTAAAATTTTTCTATGCTTCCAAAATTTTGAAACTGCAGATTATATGTTATAGTCGGCATACTTTTCTTCTGCTAAAAATAATAGTAGTTTACTTCTTTTCTTAAACTTTCTTTTAATAAATTTTTTAATTAATTTGATCGATTTAATAGTTTCCTTAAAAAGAAAGTTTTTTACCTCTTTAGAAGAATTTTTTTAAATAATACTTCATCTTTAAATCCTTATATAGCTCGGTTTTCATAAAAGATTTAGCTCCGTTTGTAGTATAGCATTCGCTCAAATTATATCAATGCGCCAATAAAGTTTAATCGAAAAGATAGTGTTCTGTTCTATTTAATGTTACATTAGAAGTGTGCACAACATCAATACACGTATGCGTAGTATATTAAATAACTTGTTTTTTTTTCTTTTATCTTAGTCTTCTTCCATCAAATGCTCTAAATATGAATATAAATGCAGAAATAATTACTGCATACCGATAGACAAGTTTTGCGACGGGATAATAAAGGATTGCCCGGATGGAAGTGATGAGTACGACGATTGCGTGAAACATGTAAGTAAAATTTACGCGTGTTATTCATAATTATTCTTTTTTTTTTATTTACATTATTTTTCTCGAGTAGTAATTTTCAATTTTTTTATTTTGTTGCCATAGTTGAACTGTAGCAGCAGGTTCCAGTGTGCTGACGATCATTGTGTATATCAACACTGGGTTTGCGACGGCAAGAAGGATTGTCCCGACGGCAGCGACGAGTGGAATTGCAGTAATTTTTTTTTGGAAAAATAGATTACTTACTAATAACGATAAGATAATAAAAATTGTATTTATTATATAATAATAAGGAACTTTTTTTTACATGGCTTTTGGTAATTTTTCAGATATAAATAAAACATCATCCGCGAGTAAATGTAAAATAAACAATTTCCAATATTTATGTAAAAATAAACTATGCATATCTCTTAAATTAGTATGCAATGGAAAGGATGATTGTGGTGATAAATCAGATGAAGTCAATTGTGAGTATATTACGCAATATTTCAACGTATTAACTCTCTTTATCACAACAATTTCAGTTATTATATATTGTTTATTTTAATGCGTTAAAGTTTTTCGTAATATAATCTTTGCGTGATTTTGTACATCGTTAAATTATATTTAATTTTTATTTAGGTACAACATCCAGTTGTCCCAGCTCGGTAAAATGCGATCACGAATGCAAACAAACTCCTGAAGGAAGTATATGTTTTTGTAAACCAGGTTATAAATTAAAAAATGATAACACTTGTAGAGGTAAATCTGTGTTAAATTAAAACGATAACAACGCAAAAATCTCGTTTCCTTAATAATTTTCTGTTTCACAGATATCAATGAATGTCAGATTTATGGTATATGCGATCAAGAATGTATAAATACGCCAGGATCGTATAGATGCAAGTGTCAAACGGATTATTTCTTACAGCAAGACCAAAAAACCTGCAAATCGAGGGGTAAGTTATAATAATCTGATAATATATGTAACAGCATATTCATTTACACTAGATTTTATAAAAATATAAATCTTTCTTTAATATTCAGCTGGCGAAGCTACGATAGTGTTCTCTACAAAAACAGAGATTGTCGGGATATATCTTGACTCGCAAATAAACTTTATAGTTGCGAAAAACTTAAATCTTGCAATCGGTGTTGATATGAACGGCGATCACATATATTGGTCGGATATTGAAGAAAACAACAGGGTCATTGTAAGAAGTACTCATCAAAATAAACACGAAGTTATTGTAAGAACAGGTAAGTGCACGCGAGGGATGCTAGTAACGGTAATAGAGAAGAAAACATTTTAAGTTGAATAATTCATGTATACGTATGTTTAGCAAAAATGTAGAATGGTAAATAGAATAATTGTGTCTTTAATAAATGATCTTGCAAAAATGACATATTTATATAAAATGATGTAAGATATAGGTTTGAAGTTAAAAAGTTTATATTATCGACATTGATCTAGTCGCACCAACATCCTATAAGGTCATAATATAATTATAGCTTCCGCAAAGTATTTGCAAAAAAGAGTTTTTATGTGCCATTTATTTATTTATAATATATGAAATAAAATAATATAGTAAAAATTATGATGGTCGTTATACATATAGATATGTATAATGATAATTGTAATAAATACAATAATTATTGATAAAATTATAGTTTTTTTATTATTAGTATACAATATTATATATTGTTCCGATAATGGAATTACTTGATAATAGAGTTACTTGTAATTAATATAATAGATAAAACTTAAGCTTGAAATACAATTAAAAAGCACAAGTAATAAGAACAAGAATAAACAGAGTTTATTATTCTGATATATTATGTATACGGTTTCTGACAGATTGAAATCGTGTTATTCTTTGTTTGTATAACCTGTGCTTTTTAGTTGTACTTCATACTTTAAGTTCGTATTTATGAAGCAATGTCGAAATAATATGAACTGATAAAATGAACAAAAAAGATATTACATATATAGACAAACTTTTTGGATCCAATGCTATTATTATATACTTTTCAATCTAACATTAAATGAGATAAATATAGATGAAATTATATTTATTATTAACAGAGAAATATTTTACTTTAAATGGAAAATTCTTAAATCTAAAATAAAAAGATCTTGGGTATCTGTTTTGTGCGAAATATTTTGCATCAGCACTGTGCGTTATAATAATGTTAGATCAAGATTTATTCTAATCGTAACAGAATAATATATATAAACTTAAATTTGTATTATATTTTTGTCTGAATATACATATAATAAAATCAATTTTATTTAATTTGAAAAAAAAAAGGATCAGATTTATTGATCTAACTTTATTTTTGTTTTATTTTTATACTACAAAAAGTTACAATAAAATTAAGTACGTCAAGAATATCTTTTGTCTTGTTATCAGAAATCTTTTCTGAAAGGGTATGATTTATTTTCTTCTAATAAATTATTTATATGGAATGTTCGTGTTTCGATAAAGTTCTCATTAATTGTAATTGATGTAAAAATAGTTAATAATTATAAATAATATTACTATAATAACATGGACATAACTTAATACTGTGTGATAAACAGTAATTACTTAATACTTATAAATAGTATTAATATTTATTTAATTTTTTCATGTCTTAACCCTTTTTTTCTGCATTATTAATTATTTTTATATTAGGAGGAAGACGGTGTACAGTTTGAAATATTCTAATAATCTATTAAAAGAAAATATATTTTGTTAAACTGATAATAACATCTTTTTTGATTGTTTACTGGTCATCCACATACAAAATTGTAATTAGATTAATGTTTCAAATTATATATTAATTTATGTGTATAAAAGATAGAATTATTTCTTTCTTTGAACAAATATTTTTTATAAAATAATCAATTTAAAAAAAAATTATATATTGTAATTTTCTAATTACATTCTAATTTTTAATACATTGCATAATTATTCTAAATTTTCTGTATATTTTTTACATAAAGGCTTGAAGAAGATATCGGCGATAGCTGTGGATTGGATCACAGAAAATGTATATTTCACAGATAACGGTTACGATCATATTGGCGTTTGTAAAGACGACGGCACATATTGCACCATATTAATTAATAATATTAATAAACCAAGAGGACTTGTTTTGTCACCAACCCATGGGTAAATATCACACATATTATAAACGTTATTCTCAAATTTTATTATTTTTTAATAACCTTTTTACGATCGTATAAAAAAACGTTAGGATAAAAAGGGAAAGAGAAAAAAGATAAATTCTTATTAATTGATTTATTATTTTATCTAGAGCCTTGTTTTATACTACAAATAGAATTTAATTAAAAATATTATTATAATTAAATTTCGCTCGTTTTTTGTAATGTAAAGTATAAAGAAAAAACGGTCTAAATCGAGCGGTAATAAGATTTTTAAAATTAATAAATTTCTAGTTTACAATATTACTAAGAAACGATATAAAATAAAAATATAAAAATGATATAAAAGTATAAAAATAATGTCGAACGTTTCGGAATTCACACACAAGTCCTTCTTCAGCGATTCATAAAGATGCTTCGACAAGATAAACGCATAATTTTACGGTCAATATTTGGCATAAACAAATATTTGGGATACTTATGGGATCCCTTTCGTCCGCTATATTAGTTAAAATTGTTCTGTGAGATTTAGAGGAGAAAGCGTTAAATATATTGAACTTAAGTACCACAATTTATCAGCGATACATCGATGACATCATTATGACCAAGAGATCACATAACAACATTCTCACCGTTTTTAACAATTTCCACAACATATTACAATTCACATTAGACATTGAACATGATCTTTAAGTTTTTGTATAGATCTTTTATTGAAAGCTGATAACAACAAAATCATTATTGATTGGTTCCATAAAAAAACTTTCTTCGGTAGACATTTATCCTTTTTATTAAATCATCGTATTTCCCATATAAGATTGGATCAGTTTTCAGCAAGACAGAGCAATCCTTCTCTCTCACACTAAATTTTATCACAAAAATATTAAATTTTGTTATAAACATCCTCCTAAACAATTGCTATCTTCAATCATTAATTTTTAATTGTATAAACAAAAGGATCAAAAAATTATATATGAGAAATTAAATACACAGAGTGTTGACAATGTGATCTCCGAAAATAAAAACAAACATGATAAATAACTATTTGTAGTACCTTTTATACCTAAAGTATCATATTCTGTTACCTCATTTTTTAACAAATCAGTCTTTACAATTGGCTACGGAATTTTTAATACATTAAGTTCCCTTAAAGTCCATAAAGACAAACTTAATAAATCTCAAAGCCTGAATGTCGTCTATGAAATCAATTGTTAAGATTGTAATGCGTCTTATGTGGGATAAACAAAAAGACAACTCAAGACCCGTATAAATGAACATAGAAATAATATTAAACAGAGTTCCTCTAGACACTCCATCATTTTTAACCACAGATTAAATTATAATCATAATTTTTATTGAAAAGAAGTCTTAATTTTATATGTTGAAACGAATTATCATAAAAGAATTATTTCAGAGATGTTACACATTAAAAAGTAAAACAAAGGCATTAACTCTCAAAAAAATACAGATAGTCTAGAATCTTACAGTTATCTATTGAAAAAAAATTTCAAACACAAATAAATAAATATAATTTCTGCTGCCCTAAGAGTCCGTCTATCACCATTGTAACACTTGCGCTTAACAGAATCAGACGAATAAGTAATGATGCTCCCGTTTTTACATTTTGTAAGTAAAAAATTTAATTTTAATTTCCAAATAAATATAATTAATTAACGTAATTGACAATCTGCATTTAAATGACTCATTTTCATCTTATCTTTTGACTACTTTGTTTGACTACTTTATATATTATATTGACGGCAATAAATTTCTTAATTTAGACACAATTCACACAAAAACAGGAGAATGAATCATTTCTCGAACAAATTGTTATACCAGCATAATACCACACACCGTGTCGCTTTGACTGTAAGATTATGCGTTTATCTCATCGACATCGAAACATTTTTATGAACTACTGAAGAAGGACCCGTGTGTGTGTGAGTTCCGAAATGTTCGATATTATTTTTATACTTTTATATCTTTTTTATATTTTTACTTTATGTCGTTTCTTAGTAATATTGAAAACTAAACACTAGAAATGTATTAATCAAAAAATCTTATTCCCGTGAAAAAAAAATATATATAGATTTAATATAATTAAATATAAATTTTATTAAAATTTAATATAATACTTATTAACAATTCTAATAAATGTGATTTTATTAAAACCTTATATAGATTTAATTTGGACTATATAATGATCCATTTTAAGTTATTAATTCAACTTATTAAGACCTTATTAAAACTTATTAAAACTTGTTAAGACCATATTAAAACATATTAATTCAACTTATTTAAAACTTATTAAGATTTAATTAAATATATATAAATTGGACATTAATAAGATTTAATAAGGACTTATTAAACTTAAATAAGTTTATAATATAAACTATATTAAAAATATATATTTATTTATAAGGTTATATAAAGACTTTATAAATTCTTTATATGAATTTTGATGAATCTTTATAAAGAACTTATAAGACTTTTATTTAGAATATATAAATTTTTTTTTCGCGGGTTACCGCTTGATTTAGATCGTTTTTTCTTTATATTTTGCAATATTATTTTATAAAATACTTGATAAGATACCTGATAAGATAATTGTTATTTTTAATATGTAATCACAAACATTAAACTCTTTCAATTTTAGAAAATAGAATTATAACAATACAAACTTAAAAAGAAATATATTAAGCATCTGTTACATTTATAGAAAAATGTATTGGAGTGATTGGGGCCCTAGAGCATGTATAACAGTTGCGGGAATGGATGGCAAAAATATCCGTAAATTCGTCTGTAATAATTTAAAAGCACCTCGAAGCCTAACTATTGATTATCCGACCAATCGATTATATTGGGTGGATATGAAATTAAAGAGAATCGAATCAATACGTTTAGACGGAACTGATCGAAGAGTTAATACTTATTTTTTTATAATAAAATATTTTAAGGTACAATTGAGATTCTGCGAAATACATTTATATAATTTAATTATTTGTAGCTTGTACTACATGCTATGATACGCAATCCATTTTCAATGGCGATTTTCGAAAATAAATTGTATTGGAGCGAGTGGGAATCCAAATCAATAGAGTTCTGCAATAAATTTACTGGAAAGGATTGGAATATCTTACATAGCAATCAACGACTTTCACATTACAGTCTGCACATTGATCAATCATCAATAAAGCCTAAAGTACACAGTCGTATTATGATGTTACTTTATCATTTAAAGAAGTATGCCACAAAAAGACTGCATTATCTTTGAATCACATTTCAGATTGACAATCCATGTTACTCTAATCCGTGTTCTGAATTGTGTATGCTAAATCAAAATAATGGATACACGTGCGCTTGTACTTTGAATAAAAAATTAAATGTCGACAATCATACCTGTCAAGGTAAATTTCTTAAAAAACCAAGGAAAGATATCAAATTTTTGGAACATATTCTAACATACTCTACATTATCAAACTTGGGATGTTAATAATAACCAATGCTTATCATATATTCTTAAATAAACATAAAACTATAAAATTTCAGAGGTAACGAAGAATGTGCTTATTCTTTATGATACGGTATTTACAAACTATTGTAACGGAATGTTGGGAAAGCCGAAAACAAGAACAGTCTCGAAAGTATTACAACCTAAGGATATAGTATCTGATCCGACCTCTGGTATATGAGAGAATTGCTAATACATTAAAAATATTACAAACGCCGTTTAACAATCGGTTTTTAATGTAAACTCTTACAATTAAAACTTATTTAGGCCAAGTAATATGCAGTGTACTGACAGAACAGTTTGAGATAAACATCGTACGCTTCGATCCAGTCAGTGATACTTTTGGAAACACCATATTGCACAATGTTTCTTATTTTAGTATGGCATTTGATCATATTGGTAATAATTTGTATATGACAAATATACTGAGCAATTCTATCAAGGTATACAGCTTAAAAACTCTGGCAATGACGGCCTTTTATTTTAAGGATTCTATTCCTTACTATATTACATTAGTACCTGAGGAAAGGTATGCTAATGAATTGATTACAATTATTATTTACGAAATAATTATTAGGTTTGATAACAAAGCGGTTGTAAAATAAAATGTTATATATAATCAATATTAATTCTTATAGGACCTTTAAACCAATGAAAAACCAATGAGAACAGGTTATAATGATTAAGCTGGATCTTGAGTACTTGTATATAATTTTGTGTACATTTATATACTACATATGTAGATTTTTAATTGCACGCCGAATTTTTTCAGACTTGAAACGCAAGCTCTACTAAATTATCGCAGTAATATCAATATTGTTAAATTGACTAACAATTTAACAATTTTTTATGATCTTTGCGATCTTAGTTAGCGATCTTAATAATGTTAAATGACATATTAAAATTTATAAATAATTAATTTTCATAGCAAAGAATATTATCTCGGCCAAGAATCCGGATCTCTTGCATTCCGTGCGAGAGTCCTAAGCCTTTGGACTATCGAGGGTAGTCATGACCGTTTCAAGTCTGAAAAAATTCGGGGCACAATTAAAAATCTATATACGTAATATAATAAATTAACTCAAAATTATATAGAAACATCCAAGATCCAGCTTGACTTGATTGAAGTTGCGGCTTGTTTTCATCAGTTTTTCATTGGTCATATATAATGTTATACATATAATATATAAATATATATGTATATATATGTTGTAGCAAGATGTATGTAGCATTTAAAGATATACTTCCTTCTAATCATACATTTGAGAGGTTTTGTATATATGAAATGGAAATGAACGGACTCGGTGAAAAAAAACTACTCAGGGATAATTTGCATGGTCCAATAATATCAATGTACTACGATAAAGACAGTAAAACGCTCTTCGTGAGTGATCAAATGTCTGGTGAAATCTTATCCCTGTCAGCTGAAGGTTTGTATTCCAGCTTTTGTAAATGACCTTTTGTTTTGAATCTTATTTCATAAATGTAAACTTTTTTTGAAATATATATTATTAAACGAATAAACTAAAATTTTATATAGTAAAGACTATATTATTAAGTTTATGTCAATATTTTATTACAAAAAATATGTTTTTACGAATATCATAAAAGCATTAAGTTATTTTTAGGCACACGTTTGCTTCGTACTGGATTACAACAGCCTTTAAGTCTTACTGTCGCAGACGACAATATTTTTTGGATTGAATATGAAAAATATTCAAATTATTTAACATTATACTCGACAAATTTTAAAATTACTTATAATCACAAAAATGCTAGATTTCGTAAGTTTCTTTAATGCTTGTTTAATAAAATATAATGCATACATAGAATTGAAATAGTCAACATAATAAAATAATGTCTTTTAGAAATACCCATCAGGGATCAATTAGTTAACTCACCAACTTCCGCGCATATGGTAACTTTGCGTAAGGATGTTAAAGAGAATCATGATTGTCAAAAAAATAATGGAAATTGCTCACACGTGTGTTTGCTTTCCTCTATTACTTCATTTGTAAGTATGTAATTTATATATACAGGGTAGCCCGCGCAAAGTGTTACAAGCTAATAACTTTAAAAATATTCGTCTTATCAAAAAGTTATTTATAAGAAAATTTTATACATTCGAGGTGCTTTCTAATTACGTAAACAAAAATCGATCCCCGTCCCTCCTTAAAGAAGGATGAGGGGTAACTTCAAATAAAACCTCCTGTAAAAAATGTTATATATTTAGATTCTATAGGAAAAAACAAGTAAACTTTGTTTGAAACATTTCTTTGGAAAATGTCAATCCAATCAAAAGTTATGAACATTTAAACTTTAATGTAGAGTGCATTGAAATTAATGATAAATTAAATAAGACTTATAGTTTTTCTGTTTCTTTTTATTTTATTAAATGTTTGAACTGTTGACCATTAACATCTAAACACTTATTAATTCTTTTTACAAACTTTTGCCAATTACTTTTATCGATACCATGTTATTTGTTGAAGAAATTTAATGTGACATTTTTTTATTTGATAATCAAACTTCCAGGTTTGTGCTTGTCCTCCTGGAATGGCACTATCAAATAATAATCGCACATGTATTGTGCATGAATGTCCAAAGAATGAATTTAAATGCAGTGAGCACAACATCTGCATACAAAAGGAGAATGTGTACGTTTAATTAATGTTTTTACATACAAATCATAAATAAAAAATGACAGACTCATGGAACAACTGGAAGTATATCGACACGTTAATAATTAGATATAATGTTTAATTGTGAACATTTTATTAAGTTGTTCATTATGTGGATTTACCGAGATTGACTAACTTGCCTCGAATACATATCTTCGTATTTTTGTATTTAATTTTTTTTTATAAACCCGAGGAGTATTTACTATTTTATTTCTTCCTTTTTTGAAGATTTCATAAATATATAAGTACTTAATATATATATTATTGATACTCCTAAAATTTTACAATTTATTTAGGTGCGATGATATCGCACATTGCCCAAATGGTGAAGACGAAACGATGGATTGTCACAAAAGGGAGAAATGCAAGGAAAATGAATTTACATGCACGAACGGCGAGTGCATCAGTATAAAAAGTCGTTGTAATTGGCATTACGATTGCACCGATCAGTCGGATGAAGAGAATTGCATAAAACCGAAATGCGCAAGTGGTAATTACAGTGACAAGTGTTGCATGCAACTTTTTTCTACTTTTTACTTTATTATAGCGAAGATGGAATATCTAAATATTCAAAGTAAACCCATGATTTTTATCTCTTTGAATATTTCTGAATGTATTTCGATATACTCGTACAGTCACAATCGTGCATTTATTTATGTTAAGTGTAAATTCTTTTTAGATGAATTTCAATGTCGCAACGGAATAATTCCTTGCGTATCGAAATCATTGCTATGCGACGGCGAGGTAAGTAGCAACTATATCATACTGTATTCACTTAATGTACTTGTTTATATTTACATGTAATTTCTTATTTAAAAAAAAATAGTTCTTATAATAATAGTTGTTAATTCAGAGTACAGTTTTGCAAACAAAAGCTACCGGAACAAAATAAACAAAAATACAATTTCAAAAAATGACATCTTTTTACTTTTCTAAATCAACATATATGAGCTTTTCGATTAATATTTTTCATATACAATACAGCTTATTCCAATAATATTGCTGCAACATTGCATTGTTTCAGTAATATTGAAGTAACATTGGAAATATTGCAGCAATATTCTTCTACTGCAATTTTATGCTATAGGATTATTCAATACGTCAATGTTTTTTTATATGTTTGTATTCAAGTTTGATTGTGAGGATGGATCGGATGAAAAACTCGAGACATGTAAACTAGGCGCACCATGTTTAAACGGTAAATTTCGATGTAACAATGGTAATTGTATATCTCCTTCGCTGATGTGTAACGGCTTTGACGATTGCTCCGATGGCAGTGACGAAAGACATTGCTTAGCGAAACCAAACTATTTGGTTAATTGCACTGTGGATGAGTATCGGTGTTTCGACACCGATTTATGTATTTCTATAAAATTAAAGTAAGTTGATGATTTTAAAATATGTAAGAGAATAATCGATGAACACATACATACAATGTACATGAATATTAAAATGTTATTTTAAGTTACTCGTTTTTAATGAAAGTTTTCTAATTGCGGTGTTTGTTATGCAAGCAGATATTCATGAGCATTAGAAAAAACAAATTATAATTTCGGTCCAAAAAATGTACTGTGTTGATTTCTTTTTGCAGATGCAACGGCAAAAGTGATTGTCCTAAAAGCGATGACGAGCATGATTGCTCGTTTTGCTTGGAGGATGAATTTACCTGCGACAATGCAGAGTGCATTTCAGAGAATTTGGTATGCGACAAGTCTGATGATTGCGGTGATAATTCAGATGAGAAAAATTGCGACGGTAGTAAAAAGACCATGAAATCTACCAAATGTGATGAATTTAAATGTTCTAGCGGCACTTGCCTGCCGTACAGTAAAGTATGCGACGGTAATCAAGATTGTCCAGATGATAGCGACGAAAATGGGAAATGTCGTATGTAGTTAATCTTTCTTGGTTAATTAAGACTGTCCCTGCCAAAAAAAAATAGTTTCCTTTTGGCGAGAAAAGGAAATTATTTAGTTTTTGAAGCACTTTTACTTTTTGAAGAATTCGTGAAAATAAGTTTTTTCTCTATATAAGTTTACAAAACTCAATAAACACAAAGTTATATGTAATTTACCTATCAGTTTTGTAATTTTCTGTTTAATAATATAACTCCCTCTCTCTGTAATACAATATAACACACGTGTGTTAATTGGAAAATATTTTATACTGATAAATTTATATAGGGGAAGCCCGGGCAAAATGGATGCCCTAGGCAAACCGAATACTTTTTATTTTCGCTTATCTATCAGAAATGGTGCTATGAATCTCTAGCTGTTGCAGGAATAACCGGCCGGCGACGCTATGAAAATACAAAACGCAATATGATTGCGATTGTTTACGTTTTATATACAAATATACAAAATTGTGTGTTTTCTTACGATTTTCGCTTAGGTACATAGCGTAATTATTAGCAATAACTGTTTCTTAACCAGTGTGAATGAATTTTTATAAGAATTCTCTGTCTTTGAACGTGCATTAGAGGTTAAAATTTTTCACTTGTTGCTGAAACTTAATATAATTTTTCCTAATTTGCGCCAAGTAGGTTCTTTGGGCAAAGTGAGTGGGGGCAAAACGAATAGCACATTATCACTGCTGGACCTAGCTGTAGTGATGTAAACAGAAAGTGAGTTAAAAAAGAAAAGTCTGTTAATGATTAAGAGAACGTACGTTACTTCTGTTTGGTGTGTTCTCAAGAATACATCGATCCAACCATCCGAAGACTGGATCCAGTGCAATCAGTGCACTAAATGGGCTCATGAAGGCTACATAACATATAAAGGATTTGGCAGCTACTTTTGTGACGATTGCCAATATTAATTTTGATATTTTTTTATTATATTCTCATTATTCGAGTAATATTCGCTTTACCCAGGGGGGTTGGGTAAAGCGGATGATTTTTCTTTTCTTACATTTTTGTTTAAAATACGTATAAATGTTCAAGTTTTTCATTCTATTCAATTTTATTTTAAAGTTTATTCTATAATGAAACTTTAAGAATAAAATAAAGTTTCTGATCTTAATTTTAACTATGTCATTTTTCTTCCCAAACCTTAACATATCCACACTGCCCGGGCTTCCCCTACACGTATATAAATAAGAGTGATGAATTAAAAAAGATAGAATTGCAGAATTTCAAAACATCTAAGAAAATTCTTAAATATTTTAATTATTTTATTTATGGTATTGATATACGATATTTATGGATTGCATTATAATTTTTGTGTAGAGATCGCATGTACGATGAACAATTTTTGTGAAGGCATATGTTATAAGACACCAAAAGGCGATGTTTGCAGCTGTCCAGATGGATATCGTTTAGCTGCTGATGCGATTTCCTGCGAGGACATAAACGAATGCAAAAGCAACATTTGCTCGCAAATTTGTCGGAATACTATAGGTTCTTTCGAGTGTTCGTGTCACGAGGGATATGTTATTCGTAGCGACAAAGTTTCTTGCAAAGCTGTCGGTAAGTGGTCTCAATTAAATGTTTATGCAAGTTGTTTAAAGCAATAAATATCATTGATGAATATTTAGGGCCGGCAATGGAATTCATCACCGTAACTAGTAATGATATTAGGAAGATTTCATCTAATTCACACTCGATCGATATGATCCATTTATTATCGGGTTTGAGTATAAATGGATTCGATGTGAACGCAGTCCACAATTCTGTCTACTGGAGTAACGGTCAGTCTCTATGTTTCAATCTTATTTCTTAGTCTTAGTGCTCGTTGCCAAACGTGATGACTTCTCTTATATACTTGTGGTGCACATGCTGATTATGCACAATCTTGGGACCTACAGTTTATCGATTTCAAACGATGAAATTTTTGTTAGAAAACTGTTCTTGGCAAAGATATTCTCGGTGGATTGCCACTTCTTTTCGAGAGAAAACACACAAACGTATAGAAATATTTTCATTTTAACGGGACTCGAACTCAGGATCTCTCTATAGCAGACTAGTTTCAGTTAAATTTTTTTGTTACACTTGTTCTTATTCAATCTTATAAATTAAGTTAATTATTATATATATCTAGATCAAATTTAAAAAACTTCCCGGCATGATTACGATAACTTTGACCACTCAAAATTAAAATGATTTTCGAAAGCACTTTCAACGAGGAACATGAGAAAAATAATTAAAAAATTCAACCAACAGATACCAGAATAACAATTACAAACAAAAAAATGGAGTAAATCTCGCTTTGCGTGGAAAGTCGCGCATCCCTTGGTAGAGGGTAGGCGGGATAGACCTTTATAATATACATATTTTACATATATCAAGATGTACATACATATTCCATGCATTTGCTTTTTATTTACGTATTGAAATCCTTTTTGTCGGTTTGTAATTGTTATTTTGGTATCTATGAGTTGAAACATTTTTTTTACTGAATATATATTACAAGTGGCTTACAATTAGATATAAAAATTAATGTCATAAAAAGAGAGCTACAGCCACACGCTAGATATAGTTAGCGACGTTTATTATAAAACATTTGTATATAATTATAAATTATTAGACGTTTCGGCCCTAAATGAAGCCATCTTCAATACAAAAACAGTTTATACCATGATTCGGTGTTGATATGTAAAAATATAATTTATTATGTCTCTTCAGGTTATAAAGTTACAATATAATCGATAATTCGTTGTCAAGATATAATAACAATTATGAATTCACATTATACAAAATCATAAATCGAAAAAGCCATTATAATACATTCTATTGTAGAGAGATTATTATTCCAATATGTTTAATTGTTGGTGTAAAAATCCTTATCTTTTTTTTTTTGGTAGTTACTCGTGTGAAGGTTATTTTCAAATACCAATTATAACATTAAGAATTCCCTTTCGCACAAGAAATTAAAGGGAATTCTTAATGTTATAAACTGTTTTTGTACTGAAGATGGCTTCATTTAGGGCTGAAATGTCTAATAATTTATAATTATATACAAATATTTTATAATAAACGTCGCTAACTAAATCGAGCGTGTGGCTGAAGCTCTCTTTTTATGACATTAATTTTTTTTACTATTTTTCTGTTGCTCCTGATTAAAAATGCTTCCGAAAATCACTTTTATTTCAACTGACCAAAGTTATCGTAATCGTTCCAACTTCCTACAAAAGATTAGAGAAATGTTTTTAAAAAATTACATTATTTCAATCCAATATTAACAAAATAATTGCAGATGAATTTGGTACTGTTAAAAAACTCAATATTAAAACCAAAAAAATGACCACAATTATGACAGTCGAGCATCCACAGTCACTTGCGGTCGATTGGATTACTGATAATGTTTATGTCAATGATAATGGTCGTCTGAGTATGATTAAGGTATATATTTTTACTAATATTAAGTCAGGGAAATGCTGTAATTTAAATATTTATTTAATTAATCAATTGAAGGTATGCAGTTTGGAGAAAGAAAGATGTGCGACGCTAGTCGAGATAGAAGATAAAGCAAAAGTAGAGTCCATTGCAGTTGACTCGATTAATAGGTATTTTTTATTCTACTTACAATTTTGACATTAATGACGTCGTTAGAGTATGTTTAAGAATAAAATTCAAAATTGCTTGTGTTGTAGATGGCTATTCTGGGTTCAAATAACGTGGCAACTAGATGTACCATTTAGCAAAATATGTCGGACAGACATGATGGGCACCGACATGAAAATTATCAGTTCCGATGCAGGCTTTGTGAGCGGAATAGCAATTGATCATATAAAATTGAAATTATATTGGTCAGACAGTTTCACCAAAACTATCAAATCATCTAATTTGGATGGAAGCCAACGTAGCATATTTTTGAGAACAAATGTACGTTTATAGGCAGGGCTGGGAATGTACTTAAAATACTGTTATTTAAAACATAGTTTGCGCAATAAAAGTAGATTTTATATTTTATATTTCAGCGGAATACATGAAAATATTAAGTATTTTATATTCAAAATTGAAAGGTTAAAAACTTCATTTTGTAATTTAAATAATAACATTAATCGTCACACACACACATACACACGCGCGCGCGCTCACACACACAATCTTAGTATTTAAAATACAAAATACTTTCAATCTTTCATTATTAATACTGAAATACAAAATATAAAATACTTTTACATACTTCCATAAAATATAAAATGCAAAATATTTTCGTGTACTCCGTTGAAATACAAAATGCACAATACAAATATTCATTTTTTCATACAACAAAGACGTATTAAGAAAATATAAGAACTTTGCGTGATCGAATTTAATCTTTTTCTTTCTTAAAATAATAGCCTTTCTCTCTTTTAGATGTATCATCCATTTGGTATTAGTATTTTTGAACAATCGCTTTATTGGTTGATGGATACAAGCGGTCAACTGCAAAGTTGTAAACTGTACGGTAAAAAGTCATGTAAAATAATAAATCTAGGCACAAATAACGTTTACAGACAGTTTTCCATCCTTCATATTTCCAGACAACCTGTTGGTTGGTATAATATAATATTTAAAGACTCTAGCCATATCTTTTATTACGTATATTAATTTTAATAGAGTTATTAAGTAAAATTAAATTATATATGTATTTATTTGCTAGTTGAAAACCCTTGCGATGGAGAGAATTGCGACTATATGTGCGTTCTGAAGAAGGAAAATGCAACGTGCATTTGTTCAGATGGCAAATCAATAGAATCTAATAATACTTGCACAATAAATATGAATAGTGAGTTGATTAAAAATCCATCGAAAAATGTACGGTACTCAAATGGAATTTATAGTCTAATAATAATTGTATTACTGGTCTTTATTCTATTATTATGCGTTTATTACTACTATCAGAGAAACAGATTAAAACTGAAATCAGTAAACAATCTTAGGTAAATACCAAATTTACTTTAATGCTGAATTTAAATAGAATCTAATTTTTATAAGAACAATACAAAATATTATATTGTTTTTCATGTAAAAATTGTACAATGATTTTTAATAGTTGCAGTAGCATTTACTTCCATAATCCATCATACGATCGAAGCGACGAAGTGGAGATAACACTCAACTCGATAATTGCAGGCTTATCTCCTGGACAGCACGAATATATTAATCCTATTGATAATAAATTCCTAAATCTAAAAGTAAGTAATAGTTTTACACATACAAACGTTATTTTTTATGATTATATCGTGTGTAATTATATTTTTTAAACCTCTTTGTGCGATTGCACGAATTAAATAACTAAATAACTTACCATGATTAAGGATAATTTATACAATTATATAATTATAATCAATAACATTAAACAGGGCGAGTAAGAGTCAAATTACAATTAAAATTCTAAATTTCTCTGATAATTTATTCTAATATATTGTGAAGAATATCACGTAATTTTTGACGTTTCGTCCCGGTTTCCGAGATAATAAATAATATTATATAATTATTATTGATGAGTTATTGTAGATTTAATTTAATATTTAATATAAAATATTTAATATCTTGTTGTAGGATGCGATGGAAAACAATGAAAACATACAGAGATCAGATCCATATTCGAAAGAAAAAGATGCTGAAGAGACAGAGCAGCATGATTCGTTAATTTATTTTGTACAGTCGAAATAATTTAAAATTAGAATTAAATTAAATATATCAAAATTATAAATTTTATAAAACCTATTTTATTTTTGACCATTTAACAAAAAAATTATGTGTAGGTTAGAAAATTTTCATATTTGAAATAGAAATTATATGTACAATACATTGTAACTCATTTGATTTCATACAACAATTGAATGTATAAATTATCAATTTAGATTATAAATATTTAGATAATATATAATTTACGTACATATATAGGGAAAACAGAGACCAGTAGATTATAGGGGTAAGTAAACTAATCACGCTACAAAAACAAAATACGCGAGACATGTATAAATGTGTCTGAACACTGTCTCAGCAGCGACTGTCTGTTGTGACATCTCGTTACAAACTCATATATAATAGAAGTTACGCTACAATTTCAAAAAATGTACACGTAAGTAAATATTTTGTACTTAAAGGTTTTTGTTTTACATTCATATGTATCCGAGATTTGATTTCTGTTTAGATATATAGTAAGTGTAGTTTTTACTTAATAAAGTCCAATAGATTAATTTTGTTTATCTCTTTGTTATTGTATACTATTAAAATGTTTTTAAAAAATGAACAGATGGGGCAGGTAGATAGGCTACCCTCAACATAGGGTTATATGATTCATTCATAGTGTAGGTATGTATGACGACTCTTATTCTCAAAACTTTTGGGAGTGAAATCTCACATTAAAAGAGTAAAAATACAACTTTTGAAAAAGAGTGAAAATATTTCTCTTGTATATAGCGTTATTAAAAAAATGTTTGATTTTTTCATTTTTTATGAAATAAACTTTTTTTAATTTTTTTATGCATGTGATTATTCTTCATAAAACAAATAAATATTTACCTTTTAATTTTTTTCTTAACTGTGGAAAATATTTGAATAATCGTACAAATTGTTACGCTGAACACTCTGTATGGAAAAAAAATGTTCCTCATAATACTCTTTACAGTATAAACAGTTCGGATATTTCGGTTATTGTGGGAACAGATCTACGAAAACCGCATTTAGAACATCTAGTTCAGTCTATTTACGTACGTGAAAAGTTCAATATTACAATTATAAATGGTCTCATAATTGTAAGCGCCGACATCGCTTTACTAAAGGTAACGATAATATGATAATGCAGTTTGTAAATAAAAAAACACGCAAGAGTATACAGAAGATTAGTTTGTAGCTTCAATCGCCATTGAAATTTTCTTGTCTGGTATCTTCCGTCAATTTACCAGAACAAAATCTTAGTCGAAAAAGAACAACAAATAAGTTAGTATACTTATTATTTCTGCCACCACTGTATATATACAATAAAAATATAATTGTAATAAAGCTAATATAATATGTATTCTCTCGCTTTCATAAACTGTATAGCTATCTATTTAATTTTATAAATATTAATTATATAAATTATTTATCTAGAGATGTATAATTTTAGCTAATTAAATAGGGACTATCAAGAGCACCAATGCCTGCCACTATCCCGCCTTCATCTTCGCTTGATAATTTGGTTCTAAGAATATGTCCAACTTGATTATTTAACATTATGTCATTACTATCCCTAGAAATATATATTATACAAATACTATTATCATTTATTTATTAACAAAAAAATATGATAATTAAAATGTAAGTCATCCCATCTGTACTTACCCTACTATTACACCATATATGCCAAGTTCTGTTATTACATCTGATAGATTAATATCCTCTTCTAAAGGCGATTCTTCAGCAGCACGTATAATATAATTTTTCTGTAAAGGAGGATAAATGCGATCCATGAGAATCCATGCCGTTCTTTCTTGTGATTCCTTCATCGAACTTAACCACGTTCTTATACTTTCATTATATATGTTATTCCCTCCGCCTTCTCTTTGTGGTTTGAGAACAAATTTGTATGGTTCATTTATACCCATTTCTACTGCTTTTTCTCCATCATCATTCTATATTAATATGAATTATTTAGATCATAAATTGCTAAAAGTTATCCACATATAATTGGTAATTATACAAGCTTTATAAAAAAATAATGAATAGATTACTTACAAAATCTAATGTATATAGACCAGTAAATATTTCTTGCACTTTAGCAACAAATGCATCATCTTTTAGAAACTTTTTCAATACACTAGGTTGAGCTAAAGATTGTTGTACCTAAAAAAATAATTTTAAAAATCGAAATATTTTACAAATTTTAATGAATATATGTTACGAAATTTATTCTAACTGTAAGTACGATAAAAATTAAATGTTCTTGTTTTCTATTAATTATTACAAGATTTCATACCGTTTTCATATATAGAAAATATAACAAGAAAATTTAACTTATTGTATATTACTCTTGTTTAGACAAATAAAAATTAAAATAATTTACATACTTTTTTAGTACCTGCTAAATGATATTGTACTGATGGACACTTTATTGCACGAGAACACTCTATTAACAACCTCATGTCCCATTCTTTTTCTGTAGGATAAGCTTCAAGTTCATAACCTGAACGATAGTAGACAACAGCCACTACTAAATTTGAACTAGAACATTCCAAGTAATTTAAATATTTCAATAATTGGATGTTTCAAATTCTATATTTTTCATTCAGCAGATATTTATTTCTATATTTACAAAAACTTAAAAAAAAATTCACTTTTAAAATATTTGATATAAATACTGATATAATTTATAACATAAATTGTAATTAAAATTGTAACTTACACAATTAATTCTTTATTTGGCCCCAATTTCACTCCCTCCGATACTAAACTTGTTAAACTTTTTCTAATAATCTTAATTTTATTACATAATTGACGAATTTGAAATTCATGAAACCTTTGATCGCTTATATTATAAGTTACATCTTCAACAATAAACAATATAACAGCTCTAAAAAACATATCAATTTATTAGTCTTATTTATAGAATGTACGAACCAGAATAAAATCTTATATTCTTTAACTTACTCTGAATTATTATACAATTCCCACGCAAATATTAATCCCTTGCAAAATCCAATAAGTGCATTATTTTCTGGAATCTTATAAATATAGCAATAATCAATATTAATAAACTGTACAATAAAATATTTTCAAAATATTGCATCAAGAATAATAGACCTATTTTGTCTAGCTGAACTTCTTGCACTGTTCATCTTCCCTTCTTTTTTGTTTTCATATTGGAGTGAACAAGAAAAAAATAGATTGTACAAGAAGTTCAGTTAAAGATTTACTGAAGAAGTTTAATGTGTTACAAAAATCGAACAAATAACTGTCTCTTAAAAAATTATAATAATAATGAACAATTAATTTACTTGTTTGCATGCTTTCTTCCTATATCCCAATTCTGCTAACATATACCTTTAAAATAAATAAATACATTTTTATTAAAAACATTTAAATAAGACAGACTTTTCAAATAATAAAATTTCTTCATATAATAAAGATTTTTACATTAAACTTACTTATGATATTCAGTTGTAACCGTAGCTAAGGCTGCAAAACTAGTCGCCACTGTATTTATTTCTACTTGCTTTATCTTACAGTCATTATCATGTAATAAATAATCAGATCTCAAGAGCCCAAGACTTATACTCTATAGATATAATAAGATCTTCTATTGTATTTGTACATAATAATTAACTCCATCAAATCATTCTACTAATGTCTAGATATTAACCTAGACATTATTAAATATCACATACCTGGTTAAAACCTTTTTCATATACTGTCTCATAAATGTGGAATAGCTTTGCTGTAAATGGATCAGCTTGTATTGTGCTAAATCAAATAATGTAACTGTATGATAAGAAAAATTTCCATTACAATTGTAGTTCTAATAATAATACCTTTTTAAGCTGCTTGTAAGAAATTCCTTATCATGAGCAACCTTATGAATAAGCTCGTTCAATATGGTTTGTACATTTTTCACAGTTAAAAAGGATTTTTCAGGAAAGCTCGATGGTAACAATGTAACAGGTAGTAGTTGTACCTTGTCCTTGTTGAAATTTTTCTTGGACCGCATGGATATCCCTAAATAATATCTCATTACATAAATCTGTGTAAATGCATCATCTAAATCTAAATTATTACAATTATTTTATATTTACATCATATCCTTGAATTTTTTATGTTTAAAACTGTAAAATAGTCATCATATTTGCTTTTAAACTTATGACTTGGATATCTTATCAGAAACAAACAAGTGTATAAGTATAATAATACATCATTTGATCATCAGCAATACATTTTTTTATCAGTAAAAAAACAAACCATGCATAAGCACCCAATCCTTTGCTTTATCCACGCTTTCTTTCAGCTTCTCCTCCGATAGAGGAAGCTCGATACAGGGTTCCAATTGACAGGTGCTCATGACGAATCCAAAAACAACTCCCAAGAACAACAATCAACACTATCACAAACAAGATTGGCGAGCAATAGCGACCATATGGATGATCTCAATATTCCCGATTCTCGGCAATCTCGGCACGGCGACATTGGCTTTTTTCCGGTAAAATCACCGGATCGGATCACGTGCGCGGTGCGCGTACGACAGGTGGGAGACTGAGAATCAAAGCCTCATACACTAGCGACCAAACGTCCATTAGTAATCTGAGACTAGGTACTACATCTATTTTGCAACACTGTCGATAAAATCGTAACATCGAAATGTAGGGTATGTCCATGGTATAAGAATAAGGGTATGCTCATGGTATAAGAATAAGGGTATGCTCACGCGCATGCGACCAATTAAAATTGTCAAAGTGTGACGTCACACAAACAAGCGGTAAATTTAAAACTGCTGTTTCCAAACAACTTATGTTAGCAGCATTTTCGTCAGATATTTTATTTTATTTTGATTTAAAGTTTACAGGAAAAATACGTTTTTAAATAATTTAAGAACTAATGAATATCTTGTAACAAAATAAATTTAGAACAGTCAGGATAAAATGTACTGATGAGGGTGTCTATAAAACAGGAAATAATACTGGACCCGCCTGTATTATCGATAAAACTAGCGTTTTTGATGTTTTCGTTCCTATCTAATTTCTTCATAATAGTTTTGCAGAATAAAAATTTCTTTTCCACGTTTTAAATATTCATGCTGATGTATCTGCCTTTGGTCTATATTGTGTCCAAAGCTGGAAAAAACATGAAATTACAGATTCCTTTATCTATTTTTATCTTCGCAGCGTTGGTCGCCATACTGAGAGGTTAAATGGATAAAGAAATCTATCATTTCATACTTTTTTCAGCTTTGGATACGAAATACACCA